CCACCTTAGCACATGTATGGATTATTCTACTAATGAAGGAGCGTTACAGTTTAGATCTGAAGTGCCCCCAAAAGCTTCATGTGTGTGGAAGGTGATCGGATCATGGGAGCGCTATATTCATTGGAAGAGTCACCCACTGATGAGCTCAGTAGCTGCATATGCTGTGAGGAGGCAGGGTCTGGTTGGAGGTGGGTCACTGCGGGGGGGTGACATAGAAGGGTACGTTCTTGTCCCCAGCTTTTCCCTCTTCTCTCTGCTTCCTGACTGCTACACAATGAGCAGCTGTCCTCCATCCTCCACCATGCTGCTTCTACCTTGGAATCCAGCCCACCATGGACTAAAACCATTAAGACAAATAAACCTCTCCTTCTTTAAGTTGTGGGTGCCAATTGTTTTGTCTCAGAACACCAAAATGTGACTAAGACAAGGGAGTACTAATTGCAGGCCTGAAACTCATTTGTAAAATATAATTTTCTTAATTTTTCTATATCTTTTATGCATAATTCCTATTAAGAGCTCTCATCTACCAGGAGACAGAAAACTCTGGCATAGTTAATTCTGGCTAAGCGCATTCAAGTTTATGATGGCACACAGGCCCACAGATCCCCAGGCACAGGCTTGGCCCCCTCCGTATGGAGGTTAAAGAATTTCTCCTGAGATGTTGATTTGTACTTAAATAAACAACAAAAAATGAACTTACACTTGGAAGGCTTGCTGCAATATTATATGATGATGTCATTATTTATAGAGTCCTTGCTGAGCCTACAAAATCCAAAGTCTTTACAGTCTGTATTTACAGTGATAGCTGCCCTCCCCCACATCATTTACACACACACACACACATCCCTCCCAAAGAATTTTTTAAGTCTCAGGCCATTTTTTGATATAACTGTATTCTCTCTATTTTGACATTGTTGGAGCAGCCCAAGTGAAGCTGAAGATTAAAATCACAAGTCTTGAAGCTCAGACAGGGAATAAAGAACAAACTCTGAAGGTGATCTCATGTGCTCAGAATTATGTCTTTAAAGGTCAAGTTCCCTTGCAATATGAACCAAACAAAATATAGCATTTAGACAAGGGAACTTTCTTGGCCCAACATTAATAAATGAATAAAAGATATTTTCATATTTATTAACATGCTGATTAAACCGTACATTTTTCATGCTGCTTCTTTTTAATTTGGGACCAAGACTATTTGTAAAAATAAATATGCAGTACATGATGGCAGAAATTGATGATGACAGTCTATTGATTTAGAATGACAGAAACCCAGAGCAACATATTAGCTATTTTAGGTACTTAATCTCTAGAACTTTTACGCAAGGTGAATTTAAGAACTCCTGAAAAGTGAAAACTAATTTCTGAATCTATTGTTTTTACACTTACAGGATAAGGTCAGTGGCAATAGCAAGGAGGTGACTGGGGAAATCATTTAACTTCCTCTCAAAAATACCAGCCTCTGGCATATCCATCCCCAGTTAAATACAACCAAAGTAAAGCGCTGGATATGCCACTGAGAGCAGCTTCAGAGCAAGTCCCGAGGCTTTCTTTCCTGCAGACGGCTGTGCTGCACTTCAGCCTCACTTATCCAGAGACATTGCTGTCCTAATATCTATCTCTGTGCCGACATCTCCACACCCACCACCATTCTGCCTTCCAGAGTCTATTCCATAGTTGGGACAGAACTTAGTGGGGCAGCACATCCCCCCAACATACAAGCCACTTTCGCACAAGGTACTCATTTGAAGAGAGCACTAGCCTGGTGACACACTCTGTGAGATCTTGGTGGAGCTTTGTAATTGCTTGGACTTCACCGTCTCCACCTGGCCATTGAGGGACTTGGAAGGGCTGCTCTTGGAAGTCTGGTAAGGCAGGAGCTGGGCTTTCTTGTTTACTCAAAGACTAGAATTGGTAGTGCTTGTCAAAACCTGCAGGTGATCCTGTAAGCCTGGGTCCCTTTTTGTCCTCTTTGTTTTTCCGGAGGACATGAGAAGCCCTTCCCAAGCAGGACCAAGATGGATACTGGAGCTCAGACACTGCTGGTGGCAGAGTACTTGCTCTGAGGCACACCATGCAATGCTTCTTCACCACATCCAAGCCCTGTCTTGGGTGGAGACGGCTGCAGAGTCACACACTGGCATGGAGCCTCAGCCATGCCAAGCAAGGGTGGTGAGGAGAAGACCACCTGGGCTTAGCTTAGGCTCCCTTCATCCCTTCCTCCCCTCTCACAGGAGATGCTAAAGGAAATGGTTTCCAAGCAACATTCCTGGCTCTAGTTTTTCTCACAACAGGGGCTTTTTGGGAGAACAGAAAAAAGAGTGCAAACAAAGATGCCAACAGCGGACAAAGACTCCCCCTTGGGCTCAGAGACACTGTGTCTTTCCTAGCTGTGGCCCAGCCTTCTTTGCAGGCGCCTGGCCGTGATGGCCTCAGGGTCAGCATCCCGTCAGCTCCTGTAAGCAGATCTCATTATGACTGCTTACTTCAAAAAGAGGATTTAACCCAAAGCAGATTTACCAGGCAGTTTCCAAAGGGCAGCAGAACCCCAGGCTGACCTCTGAGAAAATCTCAAAGGCTGTGCTGCCCAGGAGCTGGAGGGGGGTGGGGTGTACTGGAGGTTATCACAGAAGACTCAGATTGCAGAGGAACGTCAGAGAGGCCTGCAAGTTACCCAGATCCTCCTGGGGGCGTTTGATGTAGAGTGAAACGTCTATCATCTGAGTGTGCCACAGGTGTACCCTGGTGCTTAGTCAAGTACTGAGCTGAGGGGCCACCCCCAGAAAAAGCGCTAAACTTTAAAGCGCTTTAACCACTAAGAGTCAGAAGTCTCAGCTAAATTCTTAGCGAATGTGTGAAAGTTTGATGATATATCCCAGCCGTCTCTTTGTTATTGCCACTGACCTTATTCTATAAGAGTAAAAACAGTAGATTTAGAGATTATTTTTCACTTTTCAGGGGTTCTTAAATTCACTTGCATAAAAGTTCTACAGTTATATCCCAGTGGTGCTGTTCAAAGCATCAAAAGCCTGATAAGGTGATTTTTTTTTTAAAAGTTCCTTTATGACTTTTAATACATTCTGTATAGTACTTTGTTCAAGAGAGGTTGTTCTAGTTTAAGTGAAATCTAACACATCCCCCCAAAAGGGGCAAGAATTGGAATTGTTCATCTATAGCTGACCAACATGAAGTTAGTAGATAAATGTATCTGGGATGTGCTCACTGTATCATGAATAGAAGAGTTCTCTGAACTACAAAGTTCTCTATCACATGTTGTTATTTCAATTACTCTTACAGTGCACAAAAATTGGAGGAAAAAGAAGAAACCACAGGGATCAAAAGTCCACCACCCATACGTCCCTGCAAGCTGCTCTAACTGAATGATTGCCACCTGGCATTTAACTGGGTAGGAAATGGTAGTAAAGACTGACACCCATTTCAGAAAAAAATGGTTTACAAAGTGATAAAACACAATTCTCACAGGTGCTCTTTAACATTATCTGATTTCAGATATTTTAAAAAGTCACTATCAAATCAGTTGCTACTCCTTTACCTGACCATACTCCAATGCCAGACAACTGATTAGACGACTATTATAGATACATGTAATTTTTATTGTCTTAGCTTGTTTGCTGTATCTTTATCTTCAGATTGAAAGTTCTCAGAGATTTAAGGGGTGGGATTTATTTTTATTGGTTACCAAGAAATGTCAATCCAGATTTTCTTCTATTTATTCAAACATGAAGCTGATCAGCTTAAAAGAGCTTAAGGCAAACACAAACAAGCAATAAGTTAAACTTTATATTTTTCCTTCCTTCCTTTCTCTCTCTCTCCCTCTCTCCCTCCTTCCTTCTTTCCTTCTTTCCTTCCTTCCTTCCTTTCTTCCTTTTCCCTTCCCTCCCTCCCCTCCCTTCCCTCCTTTATTTTTCTTAGTACAACAACCATGTGGTTAGATACCCTGCATTAGCACGTGGTCAGGTCATGAGGCAGCCACTTGTTGGATAGTGTATAACACTTAAGTGTTCTCTCTTTCATTTCTCCTGCACCAACGCCAACAGTAAACGTGTTGGTAAGCATTACCCATAATTTTTTGTAAAAATCCTTTAAAAATACAATCTATTGTTTCATTTTTTAAATTTACTCTTCTTATAAAAGCTTTTTCTAGTACTAAACTAACTGAAGAAAACCAGATCTCTTTTTTGGTAACTAAATAAATGGTAAAGCTAGAGCAGATCAGGATGTTTGCCAGTAGCTCTCAGTTACAAGCCCCAAACACAGAAGCAGAGACGCTGGTAACTCAAGTCATCAGAGTTCAAAGCTTTGGTTTAAAAGACTGTGGAAGTCACAGCCGTAACCATTCAGCTGAGGGAAAGGAGCGAATAATTCAAAAGATGGTACACAAGAGTCAGTTACAAAGCTTTTCCCTTCAGGGTCTCTGCTTTGTATGTGGCAATTCCAGCGTGAGAACGGGCTTAGAGGCAAAGCATATTTGGTTTCTATTCAGTTTGGGGTTGTTTCTATTTGAAGTGTTTTAGAAGGTACCCGGCCCTTAAAAAGCTAAGCTGGTCAGATAGGCATCAAGTCATTTACACAGAACCAAACACTGAGGCTTTTTCACAGTAATATGAAGAATAAATACTGTAGGATTAACTGATGATGGCTACATTTAAGAATTCCTAAAAAGTAGATTTCAACCCCAAAGAAAAAAGGTGGATTCTTTCAAATAGAAGGCAATTCATAGGGAGGGTTTTCAAATGTAGACGCTTTATTGATCACGTTCAAATACAGGCTCCCTGGGTTTCTTCCCAGTTTTAGGAACACCCCTGCGGAAATGTGATATCCACTCACGCGCAACCCGAACACATTCACATAATAATCTCGGGTAAAAGTCTGTCTTCCTGTCTATGTCGCCACCACCCGGAAAGGGGAATTGGGCCGGGAGATGTACTATAGTGCTCCTGGTCAGACGAGGGGACAGACGGGGACGGGCGCTCATGTGTTACCTCTCCCGCTCCCGCTCCAGCAGGTTGGTGAAGTCGTCGCTCTTGCTCATGTAGTCAGAGTGCTTGTGCTTCTCAGTCTCCAGCTCATACACCGTGCGCCGGTGACACTTCTCTGCCAGCAGCAGCTGCTCCAGCATGCGGCGGTACGTCTCCTTCTGCTTCTCCTCAAGCCTGTCCAGCTGGGGAAGCAAAGTGGGAAGTGGATATTTCATTTCCCTTATATCGGACTCTAAAGAGCTGGTTTACATTTGTCCGGTGATGGATCACCTGGAGAGGAGATCACTGAACATGGTATTCTCCTTCATTTCCACCATCCCTGCCCTTTCTCTATGTCAACTGACTTCATAAATTAGTCATAATAATGCTGCAGTTTCACTTTTGGCGCTCTGGTCCTGTAAATGCATGTGTGGTCCCTAATCTTTCAGGAGAACAAACTTCCACAGTTTTAATGAGATAGCACAAAGAAAGAAACTGAAAATCATCTCTCCTGATCTCAGAAAAATTAAGATCTCAAATTTCTCCCCTGGCAGTAAGTATCATCATCATCATAATCTTTTTTTTTTTTTTAGGGCTTGCAGCTGTATGCATTTCTAGGAAAGCATATGAGGGATCCAAAGTCCTCTTTTTTCAAGAGATGCTAAATATAGGGAGGACTTTGGAACTTTTAGAAAGTACATATCTCTACCAGAGCCCTATCAAAATACTATTACAGAATTGCTTTTTCCATTTTCTTTGTCAGGGTGTCAGACCTTTAAGAGAGCATACCTTGATCATCCTTTTAGTCCCTTGTACTACACCTAGCACAGTACCTGGGACAAAGTAAGAGTTCAGTAAATGCTTACTAAAGTGGGCTAAATCTTGATTGGATTAGGCTTTCTCATCTTTGGTACTACTGAGGCTACATTATTTACATTATTCATAATATAAATTAATAATCTAAGTAGTGATCTCAATAATTATCAATATAAATAATTGAGATAATTTAGATACCAGGGATGTTTTCGGTTAGATTATTTGAGGAACTTATTGGATTGGAGAATAGTTAGCAGTATCCTGGGCCTTCCTCCTAGGTACCAGTAGCACCATCTCCAGTTGTAAATGTTTTTATCCTGACACTGTCAAATGTACCTTGGAACGAGAAATCCATCCCTATACCACTACCCACTGCTGCTGTAGTCCAAACAGACATGTTTAAGTCCTCGCTCAAACCACAATCAACTACCGAAGACCCAGTGGGGCAGTTCAGAGTGTCAGCATCAGAGCCGTTCTCCCTTAGTTTTCCATCTTTGCATTTCAGTTATGAGAAGGATTAGATATTTTCTCTGTACTTGTATGATATACTCATTGCAAATGGATCACTTCTGGGCCAAAATAAAAGAGAGGCTGCCCCCATCATCCTCAGTACCTTCTTCCCAGATTTCCACTGCCTTTGTTTAAGAACCAGCGACCAGATGGTGACGGGTGGAGAAATCCACGTTAACTGGCAGCTAACGATATCTAAAATCATTAGGGTTTGCTATATTTTTCTATCTTCTGACAAAGTTTTGTTTGTACAAGAAGCCTCCTACAGGAATAGCTCCCTATTGCAAACTATTCTCCAGAAGAACCCTCCCAAATGTCTATAAATTTGGTTTTTACTATATTTAAGGAATTCATCTAGTCTTAATGAAGCATCATCATTATCAAACATAGAGAAAGGCATCTTTTCCCACTTTTTGATCCAACCTACATCGTCATGAAATAGGACCCTCTGTTCTTGAGAGATCCTGAAGAGCATGTCCTGCCTGTTGGTTCACATCCTCCCTTTGTCCTCTCTAAGGAAGGCGGCGTAATTGGAGTAGGGAACTGGGCAGACGCAACTCAGCCTATACATTGTACTCTCAAGGACCCAACTTTCCCCCAGCATCTCTCAACCCACCCAGGAATTGTGCAGGGAAGATGGCGGCATCACTAATTGGGTGGTTGGCTGGGAAAGCCAAAGAGACAGGTGGACAGATGGAAAGGTGGGAGGCAGGCTCAGCCTTACACAGTCTGTCCACTCGGGCCCCTGACACAGCAGCTGTGGTCCTGGGCTAGGCCACTGAAGCACGTTGCTCTGTGTATGATGGTGTCTGGACCCACACCGGCACAGCTTGACCCAACCAGAATTACATTATTAGGAAAGTCATCTTTCTGTCTCAGGGCCTACATTGCTGTGGCAGTGGGGTGGGCAGCATGTTTCTCAAGCAGAACTCAGACTCAAACTATAAACTGTGGAGGCATTAGTGTAAGGATTTAGCTTTTAATTTTAAATTCTGCATGTAAGAACTTACACTGGTAGCAGTAGATCAACCGTGCCAGATACTATTTCTTGCTATTTTATTTGGAACCACTCATGCCTTAAGCTCCTAAGGGAGAACTGAGATGGCTTATCTTTCTTGGCTCTCGGTGGCTTATCCAGAGATTCTGAAGACCATCTCCCATCACTTTGGACCAGAGAGAGATTCATGTATCATACATACTGTGTATCTCACTTTTGGCTTTCAGCATCCAAGCCGTGGCTCAGCACAGAGGAATGGCTTTTATTAATGAACAGTGAAAGTGGAATGGGCATTGATTACTTTGGAAGGATAATGTCCACTTGGATAGAAGTAGAAGGAAAATTGCATGAGATCATCATAAAGCCAAAGGCCAACATTTTACTAAGCAAAGAGTGTACCTGGAAATCTTCTAAGGCATCAAGTTGTCAGAGCAGTGCAAAGACTGGAGATGGGAAACAATTTCAGTATGGTTAGGTAAAAGGATCACCGTCAGGATGTGGTCTAAGCTCTGTTACCTACAGAGAAGTATTGAGGAATCCAGGAAGACAGACATCAGTTAAAGAGGAAATACAAAGCCTTAAAAATGGGAAAAGGGAAATGGATCTAAGTGCTAACAATGATGGGGCCAGACAAAGGTAGATGTTTAATCACTGCTGAATCAGAATGAATAGCCAGAGTTAATGGGGGTGCAGAGTACAGAGCAGTGTGAACCCCAGGAAACAACTAAGGAGCACACTACAGATCTCCAGAGTCTTTCATGAGATCACCTCGGGCCTTTCCCTGAGGATTACAATAGCTTTTCAAATCAGTTATACAAAATATAAGCAGCTTTAAGAAATACAATCTGGGAAGATGAGAATAAGATATATGAAGCATTGTTTGGTGAGTTCCAAGGTGTCAGCTACTATAAGTAGAGGCGCTGGTATTGCTCAGGGCCTAACTGAACATGCGCAAGAAACTTTGGTACAGAAGGAAACAGGAGGCAAACAAAAGGGGATCCATGCAGGAAAACAGCAGACAAGTCTAAACACAGATTTGCTATGATACGAAAGGCCTCTCCATGCGGGCATCCACATCAAGGACAGAAAAGCACATACAACTGGTGTGAAGCAAATGGTCCTGGCCAACTCTGAATACCTTGATCTTGCACTTCTCATGGGGGAGAACACACAGTAAGAATTTGGAGGCCATATTTGAAAATAAATGTCAGGCCTGAAGGGAAGCAGAAGCAAGCAAATGAATTAAAATCCCTCTGAGATGCATAAAGCAGAAATGGAGAAAGGGACCACATAAAGAAAATGGTTAAAATGCCAACAATAAGCAGACGAAAACAAATCAGCTGAGCCTTCCGACCACATTTGTTTCAGCGGCGGGAAATGTGTTTGTTGCCTGAGTATGATGGGTTGCTCAAGGACTAGAAAATTCAGATTTAAGGGAAGGCTTGCCGGAAATGGTGGTGCACTTGGAAGTCTGAATCAGGAGAGTGATGCCTGCAGAGTAAGTTTAAAACCAGCCGGGACATAGTGCAAGACCCTGACTCAAAAACAAAAACAAACAAAACCAGAGAGAAGACTTAGTTCTGAGGAAGTGCACTGCCTGGCTCCTCCCTGGGCCTGAGTCACATAGGCTTCAAGGGAGTCATTTTTTAAAGAAATGGATTTCTTAAGCCTGTACATAGAAGATGAGAAAAAAATGGGATTAGAGTGGTTTTAAATACACAAGTGCAAAAGGAGAGCACCGAAAGTAAGAGGTATGCCCTGAGAAAGCCACCCCTATAAGTTCTAAGACCTTGCAAAAAGACAAGTATGCTTGAAATGTCATTCACTGAAGGCCAAGATAAGGCATGCAAACACCCTCCCACTGACCTGGGTCACATTATTCCCTGTCCTCGCTAACCTTTTGATGGTAACAGGCTCTGTCTGATGCGAACACCTGCCCCAGGTATCCAGGACCTTATCGTAGCTGAAGACATTCTCTATCCTTTCCTCAAAGGTGCCCAAGTATCTTCTTTGATCTTGCTAAGAGCAACATGGGCCTCTGCTATACTGGGTACTAAGGTCAAAGAATGTAATGTTACTTGAAATAAATTGATTTTGGAGCTCGGGACTTTATTATCTATGTATAAATGTATGAGTATGAATTGGTACTATGATAATTGCATGTGTCCTAATAAATCTTTGGATTACTTTAAGTAAAAAAAAGATATAGGGACTCTAGGATGTATTAATGTAACTGTGAAGTGCTAATGATGTAAGTTTGTTTTCCTGAAGGGGAAAACAGAAAGTTTCCAGATAATCAATTGAGAGCTCTCTGGCTGAGACTGAGCAGAATAAGAAATTGGAAGGTAAGAAACCAAAACTTTAGTTTTTCTTGGAATTTTGCTTGTGAATTATGACCTATGATATTCAGGACTTTAGTGTACAACAAAGTTCAAGGATTTAATATTTGCTACTTAGTTTCTCTCCAAGGGAGAAAGAGCCACTGCGGCGGGTTCATGATTACCCTCTGGTGGATGCTACTGGAAACCTAACTGGGCCTAACTTGGTGTGGAAATTGTAATGAGCAGTGACTTGGGGGGCTTGAAGTACAATATGGCTTTTAGGAGCAAGAGGCAGACTACTTGCTTGTGGTCCCAGGAACCTCATGGAACACTGATGTCTTGGGGTTTCCATTTTGTGATCCCGGAAGTAAGACTGCTCCTGCATAACAAGAACTTGATTGTTCATACCAAAATCTGTAGATGGTGGAAGAAAACCTTTTCCCTAGCGTTCTGTTTCTCTCATGAGACAGGCCTTCATCGGTAGTACTAGGCACAATGCTGTCTTTCCCTCTCCCTCCTCACTCACTTCTACCCAGGGGAAGAAAGACCCTTTGGATTGTTGAGAGGAGAAAGGAACAAAGAAGCTTGCCCAGAACAAGAAGCTTGCCAATTCCAGAACAAATAGGGAGTGTTTCTGCTCTGCTCCTCTGACCATAGGAGGAATAGCTGGTCAGGTCTGTCTTCTGAAGGTAGTTCAGAAACCCTCTCTGTGGACCAGAACTCAGTGGGCTGAAGGCAAGGAGGCTGAGTATGTGAACTCTGTAAACCCGCTTCTCCCTTTGAGGGTCATCCCAATCTCTAGCCATGGGAGAAAAGAATGAAGGAGCCCTAAGGAGACCATTTATCCAAGTTGAGTTCTCCAATCCTGGTTATTATTTTCTTTACCTCTATGTGTCTTTTTCACTCCTCAGATCTTTCCCTTCAGAACCAGTTAAGGCTATGAACAATTATCATCTCAAATCCTAGCAAACACTGTCCTGATGGCTAATATTTTTTGACTATGTGCCTGTGCCATACATGATGTTAAGAACTTTGTAAGCATTGCTCCATTTAATCCTTAAAACAACTCTGTGAGATGTGCAGTGGTTTCTCCCACCTCACACATGAAGGATCTGATCTTTTGAAGAGTTTATGTGACCTGCAGCAAGCCATGCACAGGTGGTAATGGTAGCTCCCAGCCATGGAAGCAGACCCATCCTTCTGACTGCGTCCTGCTACATCATCATCTCATCATTTTAAAAAAAGATAAGACTAGAACCCCAGTTTACCTTTGTTGCATAAATTAGACAATTGTGGGAGCATCACTCCAGATTTGGACACTATCAAAATGAGATCTTGTCTCAGATATGTCCAACTGAGTTGTTCCACAGGCTTGATGTAACTTAAAGGTTCAATTTTTAGTAGGGTGATTCAACTTTTAATTTCTATATTATTTTTATTCATAATACTAGTATCTTAGCTATGAATTTTTATGTGAATTGTGAAGAATCAGTGTGGATTTACAATGATTCAGATTCACAAGCTAGTACCCTAATTTGGCATGGAACTTCTGCTACGATGTGAGAGTTTTAAAATGTGGTAGCATGGGTAAATTAATAACAATCCATAGTTCCTAACACAATTTTGTATAAAAATGATTAGATTCAGCCCTAATAGAATTCTTTTCATCTTAAAGGATTGCCCTAAGTGTTTCATTGGTATTGTTCCTCGATTATTATAGCTACTCATATAAAACCTTTTAAATTATGACACTCTTTAAGATACCAGAAAAGAGTGGCTTTATAACCATAAATATAAAAAATAAAATCAATTTAATTATAAGCTACCAACTTGATAAGAATTCTGACAATTCAGTGTTAAAACAGATGAGTGCTTCAAATTTTTACACACATTTCTTAGAGAGTAAAGCAAGAATATACAGCAAGAGCATATAACTATCATAGTCAAATGGAAAAATTTTTTGAACTTGAATCATATTTAAGCTTCTGAAATTATCATTGAAACTTACCCATTCTAACCTTTCAATTAGTTATATTTTAATATTATAGAAATGTACTGTAAAAAAATTTGCCTTTGTAAGAAAATGCTGAACTCTATGAATAGGCACCTATGTCCCTGTGGTTTCCTTCTAAGGAGACTCGTTGGTGTTACACCTTACCTCTGAGATGGGTTTCTCATAGACATCTTCCCCTATGGACTTCTCCTGCGCCAGGATGGCATCTCGGTGCAGGACCCGAAGCACCTTCTCTGGCTCTGCAGATCCATAATGAGCTTCCAGAGCCTCAGGCTTGGTTTTCTCTGTCTTCAGCATGTGGATCACATCTTCTCGGGCCTGTGGTAGGAAGTGCAGCGAGGTCAGAGAGTTAATCACTTAAATCACACACTAGGCTCACAAGATCAGCCTGGAGCTCACTGAATTGACTCCCACCTTTCAGGGCTATCAGCAAATTCACTGAGGATTCTGCTCTTATTTTTTACCAACGGTAGACTGGCAAGCAGATATTCTGCTTCAGGTTGCTAGGAAGCAGGCAAGTAGAAAAAGAGGTTGTGCTAATATTAACCACACAAAAATTGCTTGATCTGAGTAGCAGTGATTTGGGAGAGGCCAGGACAGCGCTGGTCCTGGGATCCCTAATCTGCTCCACTGCACACGAGGTCAATGACAATGTAAAATCTTCTAGTTTTCTATTTATGCTTTCAATGTTTTATCTAAATCTCATGTGAAGGAAAATCCTCCCCCCTCAATTCTGTAGCTCTGTGTTAATTGTAGTTAGCTATAACTCCCTGCATAATTGACAAATACCCTTTATTAGTGCCTTCCTGTTTCTCATCAAATAATTCATTTCACACAGGAACACATGGCTATGAGCGCATACTGTGCCGGGTGGAGCTTTATAATCTAATGTGTTCAGGCTGAAGGAGAAATTTTACCCTTTTAACATCCAGAATGCTACCATGTGAGTCAGGTTGGTGAGATTATAGCTGTTGTTTTAATTTCTTGGCACAACTAAGATCTTTCTGAAGCTCTGGAGAAAACCATGATTGTAGGTTTTGTACCGCATTATCTTTGGTCTTCATCACATAACACGAATACATCTGGGTGTACTTTTTCCTGGTTAGAAGTTATACTGTTTCTAGTCATGATGAAGTTGACATTCGCTGAATGTACTCTCATCTGGGCATGTATGTGGAGCTATTTTTCCAGCACTGGTGATGAGTTACATATTCTGACTTCATTCCAACTTGTACTAAAGAACAAACTGGCTGGCAGCAAAGTTTTAGTCTATGACAGTGGACTAGAATTTGCTCCTGTATTAATGCTAACTATGGATTTGAAACAATAAACCTGGATCATTATGATGGCTGCCTAAACAAGAGAGCAACCACTAATGCTATATTTACAATGTGACCAGATAAAGCTTGTTTCTGGAGGTCTCCCACTTTTATTGCATTTTCCATCTCCAAATAAATCTAATTCCAGATGACTAAAGACTGATTTACTTCTGAGACATCAATGAACTGGAATTTGCGCATTTTAGTGTCTCTGCCTTATACACATGTGCTCACTTAAAGACAAAAATGGAAAATACGAATTATGAAGAATCTAGTGATATGGAATGATAGTGATATTGTTAAGGTCAGAAAATAGGTTAATGAAAGGCAATGGGTCTGTCTCTTTGCAGAGGAAATGATGGAAGCATTGTCTCAGGGTCAGGCCTGTCTGCACAATGTCTTAGCGCAGTTACAAAAGGGTACCTGCTTAATCAAGATGACACAGCCCTGAATCAGGGTGCAACTTATCTGGTGAGAGAAGAGCAGGTATAACTCTCTACTGTATATGGCGGTCCTGTACCAAAGGAGCTGCAAGGTATGCACATTACTACTGGCTTTAGGTGAGGTAGGGTTCCGATGTTCACAGCTCACACAAGTGAACACAGACACATCTTCCAAAGAAATTGTTCTCAACACTGGCTGCACTGGAGCCTCCTGAGGAACTTCAAAAACATCTAAATGCCCAGGCCATCCTAGACCACCTACATCCAAATCTCTGAGAGACGGATTCATACATTGGTACCTTTTAGAAGTCCTAGATGATTCCAGGGTTAAGATTACTATGCCCACTGTCAGGACACACTGAGTGTGTTCTCTAAGGGTTCATGTGCTGGGAGCTTGGTTCCCGTTGTGATTATGAAAAGTGGTAGAAGTTTAAAAGTTCAGATCTAGTGGAAGGTAATTAGGTCATTGATGATCCTGTCAGACACTGGTGTAGTTCTCCCAGGACCCTGGCTAGTCTCTGAGAGACCAAGCTGTACAAAATAACAAGCTGGCCCCTGGATCTCTCTGGCCTCCTGTCTCGTCCTGTGATGGCTTGCTCCCTCTCTCTCACACACTGTTCTGCCTGGTGCCATCCATCATGCTGTGGTACAGCCAACAGTGCACTCACAAGAGGTCAAGCTGATGGGCAACCTGTCTGGTACCTCCAGCCTTGAAAACTGTCAGCTGAATGCATCTCCTTTCCCTATAAAGCACCCAGTCTTGGGCATTTTGTTACTAACATACTCTTCGATTAAGAGACATAGCAACTACACTTAGAATGGTGCTATAGCCTTTCTTCTTTATGTCATGCTCACACCTGAAGTCAACCTTTTGCTTTGGCCAAACTTCATCTTGAAAGAAGAAATAGAATTATTAACTTATGGAATGATGAGGAAGAAAAGTTTAGAATCACATTTGAAAGTAAAAAAAATGGGGATAATAGAAGGTTGCCCAACTGGAACTCTCCACAACAAACTTCCATCTTTTTCCTCATCTCTAAATCAGAGGAAGTAAGTGGTGTCTTGTAAAACTCACATTTTAGCATGTGAACTACAAAGACTTATAGGGAAGAAATAAAATGTACTGTCTTGTGAAAATAAATTGAAATTAAAGATAATACAGAAGAATGTATTGCTATTTGTATAATAAATTGAGATATTGATTCAAAGCAAAATGTAAATATTTCACATGTTCTGCTCCCCTGCTCTCTAAAAAATATTATAGTGGATATGTTTAAAAAGAATAAAAATAGAACTCAAATTCTTCAGAAAAGAAATCATTATAAAAGCTTAAAAAATAGATTAGATCATATATAACTTTGATAATTAAAAATACATCTGAAACACCAGAAGGAGAAACACTAAAATCTTTGGTAGTGAGATTAAGGGCTATTTTTATCCTCTTTTTGTTGATATGTATTTTCTGAACTTTTTATGGTGAATATATAGTTAATTTTATAAAAAAGAAACAAAGTTGTACTTTTATAATGAAAGAAGAAATACTTTATTATTTCTACTTCACATAAGTGAGACAAAAGAAATAGTTTAGTAGAAAGTTCTATTTCATATATCTGATGCTAAAAAGGCCACCTTCATTCTGGCTATAGATAACTCTGTGCACCTGTCTCTGGGATCTATCAAAGGATGACCTAAAACCAAACTGCACAAAGATTATACGATAACCTCTTGGTATGATAACCTCTTGGGCATTGTCTTGATACCTTTTAGGACTGTTTACAGTAATGAATCCAGGGGTAGAACAGCCGCTAAAGTGGGAAAGTATGCTAATAACCAGGTGGTGTAGGGAATACAGGTTTTCCTGCTGATATTTATTCTGATTTAGTTATATTTAGAGCTGGATAGCTGAAAGAACCACAGCTGAACTACTTACAAAGGATATTCTGAAAACGTGTTTGTCTCTAACTATGGGTGAAAATAATCAGAAAGTGGCTGCATCAAATAGTCTTGAGTATAAATTGCACTACTAGTTAATACAAGATTACACATCCTGAGCATAGAAGAACTCAAATAAATTTTAAAGCTCTCAGGAAAACAAAATTTGAATTAAAACACGAATATAATCACATTCATGGTATAGTAGGACAAGCCCAGTTTTAAAGACATGCAAAGTTAATTTCCAATTCTACCTGTTCTGTACAGTTTATGAAAGTTGCTAACAATGCCTTGGCCTAATTCTATAAAATAGGATCATGATAACATCCTTACAGGATAGTTGTTAGGATAGATTCAAATATAAAATGCATACTACAGAGCTTGGACAAAGTAGATGGAAATCAAGCAGTAACAATTTGATTTCTGTTGGGTTTCCAATTGTTAGATGACTTTAGGCATACAGGAAGGAAAGGAATTTTCTAAGATATATTTTTCCCTAGCCAAGTATAAAATGTAAGACTGTAAGTGTTTAACTGTCTATACATTTCACAATTTACTTTTATGGATGCTTGTTTCCATGCATTATTTAATCTCCTTGACTCAGTTTCCTGTAAAGGAGGGATACTAATGCCTCTATGTCATAGGGATTTTGTTAGGCTCTAATAAAGTAACATAAATAAAATGCTTTGGACACTGTAAACAGGTAGCCATTTCAGTGCAGTAATTTAAGCTATTCAGTTTAAACCTATGTAAATATTATTGGTATTTATGGTTTTTACCAAATCTTTCTGATTCTCTTAGAAGATATCTTCTATTGTTCCAACTGATATGAAATATCTATTACTTGTTACTAAAAATCTACTTATGCTTGACCTATATTAATTGTAATGTGCTGCATATACTACATGTTTATTCTTAGTTTAAGTATGCTAGACCAGTAGGGGCAAACCTACAACATGTGTGTCACAGCCAGCTGTTTGTTATCATTGAAAGCTCTAAAATGTTTGTCACATTGTACTAGACTCCAATTACCAAAGATAGTCTAACATGATGTAATACTGTGATTATATATTTACAACTATGTTATTTACCATGAACTTATTCCAAGCTTTTTAAGTGCTACAATAATAATCATGGAAGAAATAACAATGCTGTCTTTAAATTCCTGTTATTTATATAGTTTAATATAGTAAATCAATAATTAATATTGTACCTTTTTACTGAATGGATTAATGAGGATGACTATGTGATCACAATACGTTTCTTCACTACTCCAGATGTACAATTCAACCTATATACAAAGGTACATTTTTGAGATAAAACCATTTCACATTTCCAGTTTGAGAAACTTGCTGATTTTTCTACACAAGTATGAAATTCCAATCTCAGAAAGCTCGGCATTCTTAAACTTTATTTTCACACAAAAGCTTAATCAAAAGCAAGTGTCTAGGAGCTGGGGATTTAGCTCAGCGGCAAAAGCGCCTGCCTGGCAAGCGCAAGGTCGTGAGTTCGGTTCCCGGTACCGGAGAAAAACAACAACAACAAAAAAAACAAAAGCAAATGGCTAAAGTTGTGGGGTCCTGGGGAGCCCCTAGAGAGACCATGTAAAATGACCCAGGGAGAA